GGTGATGATGGTGTGGTATGGTGATGATGATAATATTGCGGGGATGATAATGATAGTGGTGATGTTGATAATGGGTACGTTGAGATTATTGATGACGGAGGCGATGATATGATGGTAGTTATTGATGTTGATGATGGTGGTGATGATGGTGGTGATGATGGTATGGTGATGGTGATGGTGATGATAATATTACGGGGATAATGATGGTGATGATGTTGATAATGGGGAATAGATGATGATGATGGTGGTAGCGGTGACGATGATTGATGATCGTGATGGCGATGGCGATGATGGTGGTGATGGTGATGATGATGATGACAGATAAATGATGACGTTGTTACTGCTGTTTTCGTTTATGCTACTTGTTGATAATGATTATGATGGTAATGATAATGATGATAATGATGGTGATAATGATGGTGATGATAATGATGTTACAATATCCCCCCAGCCTTGCTGATAAACTCAAGAAGCTGATGGTCCTGTTCGCTGGTTACATCATCAAGAACTGTGCTCTTCTGTTAGACGCTAATAACATTACTAAAACAGGTTAATACTCTCTGTCTATCCATCTATCAGTCTGTCTGTTCGATTGTCTGTCTGTCTTTCTTTCTGTTCGTTTGTCTGTCTATAAATTCATCAGTTTGTCTGTCTTTCCTTTTGTATGTCTGTCTGTCCATCTATCAGTCTGTTTTTCCGTCCGTCTGTCTGTCTGTCTGTCCGTCTGTCTGTCCGTCTGTCTGTCTGTCTGTCTGTCAATATATCTGTCTGCCTGTAATTTCATGATTGTTATCTTGTAGAAGAGCCATTCTATGTGGTTCAAGGTGTGCAAGACAAACAAGCATCATCAGATCATGACAAGTCTTGCCTTCTGATCAACAACATCATGGATTGCCTACAGAAATGTCTGCTGCATTCCACACGAGGCTTCATGGATAAGGAAAGATTCAACTGTCTGATGCAACCTCTAGTAGACCAGGTATGTCGTTATACTGGTTATTATGTTACATACGCGGACCTTTTCCAGTCATGTTGGCTGGAACAATAGACTTCCCCCGGACGTATAGCCTCACATTCTAGCGCTTCAGGATAACACTACGCACAGTGAAGCAAAGGTTATCATTCTCATGAGAATAAGCATGGCGCCTTGTAATCAAGGTGTAACCATTCATAGATGTAATTACAAAGGCAGCACCTTCTCCTCAGTTATTTTAAGACCCTGAGTGTTGGTCCGGCTGGGGTTTGAACCACGACCTCCCGCACAACACACCAACGCTCACATCCACCCAAACAGGATGGGATTGACAATGTAATCTATGATCATCAGTGTTTCTCATGTTTTCTCTTCTATTCTTTGAAGCTCGAGAACCAGATGGGAAGCACCAGTGAATTCCAGGAACGAATAACTAATCACGTGGTTCCATGCTTGGCTCAGCTCGCAGTGGCTGCTGGGAGTGATGCTGAATGGAAGCCTTTAAATCATCAAGTGCTGCTAAAGACACGTCATTCATCCCCACAGGTTTGTACTGCCAGAAAATAACCCCTTTCCTCTCCCCCTTGCGGCAATAGGTAGTTCATTTTTGATTGTATTACGGGATTGCTGTAACAGCTGAAGAGTGAGAGTGATTTGAGTGAAGGTTGTTTTTCTGATTCCTTCATGATAATAGTTTATTGAGTCCTCTAGCAGTATAAAACTGAATTACGAACTGTATACGAAGATAAATAAAACTAAATTGATAAAGTATTTACAAACGGTATACTTAGACACTGCATTCGGTACTACGGTCACATCCGGTGACGTCATGACGCGCGTTCAATTCAGACTTTCCCGGCAAGGAGTTGGTGTCTGAGGCAGCACGAAATCTCCTAGTCTTCCTCGGCCGATGTAGTCATAGCATCATCTGTCACCCTTGCCTGTCCACACCATTGTAACATTATGACCCATTAATGATCAATAAAGCTTGCTTCTATTTGTACTCAGTACATCCGAGAACCCTTAACTCAATAGTTACTATTCTTTCTTTGTTCATTTACCAGCACAATATCGATCAATACGCCTTTATTTTATACACTAGCCTCCTGAGTGACAGCCAATCTTTATCTCTATTCATGCAATATCTTGTCAACACTCAACAGCTTCTTATTCTGAATCGATACAACCATAGCTCCCATACCGTACCATTTTTGGCATTAAACTTCATGTTTTGTTTATAGTTTTTTTCCCCGCATCTCTTATTAATCCTTATCATGTTTCGTGCGTTTTTCATTAGCCTTTTAGACCTCTCGCCCGAGTGTCTATATAGCTACCAGAGAGTCAAGTGTGTCGGCATATCCAATACATAAGTACTGTTCTAGAGAGTAAAAGTCTTTTTGTTCTGTCTTTAGGTTCGTTTCGCTGCTCTCAAGGCTCTCGAGGAGTTTTATCGACAACTTGGAGAAGAGTTCGTTGTTCATTTGTTACCAGAGAGTCTACCCTTCTTAGCTGAACTAATGGAAGGTAAATACCAGATTCCATCCATCCATCCCTCCCTCCCTCCCTCCCTCCCTCCCTCCCTCCATCCCTCCATTCATTCATTCATTCATTCATTCATTCATTCATTTATCCATTCATTCATTCATTTCACCTTATTTATCTATATATTTACGATACACAATTTACAAATGGCAAGGGGACCTCCTGAAACCATTAGGCTTATAAAAGCAGAGAGCCTCCTTCTGTAATCAATCAAATCGTTCTTGGTTGAACATTAGATCCACTCAAGTAGACTTATTTTTGCTAAAGGACAACACTTCTCTTCGCTGTAATATTCTTTGGGGTGACATTATTGTGTCTCATCCCACACGTCATTACCTTGAGAACTCTTCTTCTTTTTCCGGTAAAATCGTAACATAGTAATATGAATGTGACAAAAAATATCGTACTTCCAAGAGCCTCTAGATGGGAGAACGTGCGCTTTTTCATTTTAACTTGCTTGGAAATTGGAGAAGCGTGGGGGACTAGGATAGATGAATATCAAAAGCAGGGAGTTACCGTAGTTCAGACAAGAATTTAAGAAAAAGATTTTGCTTTCCTGTTTTCGTTGACAAATACGAAAACAGGTTAAGTTTTGATTCTAAATATTTTTTAACTTTCAAAATCCCATCTGACCTCGTTTTCATGCCAATCAGTCCAGTCTCCTGCGCGTCTTCGTGAGATCTGAATACAGTCATACATTTCATGCACGTGATAGTATGAATTATATTACTCATGCTAGGGTTGTTGTTTCTCATCAGATGAGTGTCCAGAAGTAGAAGAGCAATGTCAGCATGTTGCGCAACAGATAGAGTCAATTATCGGGGAACCGCTACAGAAATACCTTGAATCGTAAAATGATGTACTGACAAGTTAGTGAGATTAAAGTCAGTGGAATCGAGAGATGATTTAGTCGTGGTTGTTGTTGTTGCTTTCTCTCTTTCTTTCTTTCTTTCTTTCTTTCTTTC